GATCCTCTCCCTTCCAATAGACCCGACCTGCGACAGCTTCAGTGTCACAGGTCAGCTTGAATTATGGGGATGAGTGATTTTTACTCACTCCATAATTCTCCTTCAACTTCCCCATACTGGAACTGAAGTTTTTTCTTCAACAAAGCTGTTTAAAGAAGAACTCTGGCTAAAAATGTTATTAACCCCTTTGCAGTGGGGCTACTGCCATACTGCAAGGGTTTAGCGTTTGTTTGTGTCTAGGTGCTAATAAAGAAAAAAGTTACATTCACCAGACCATCTGAGCCAGATTCCTGCTTCTGTGATCACTGTAACGTGTCTTCTTCTCCGTCGCACAGCTGGACTGCTCCTTGGCATCCGCACAGTCTATGCACAGTATCCTTAGACTGTTGCAGCAGAGGGGAAGAGACGCTCTAGACACTGATCTAAGAACAAGCCAGCTCGGATGGTCTGGTGAGTATAACTTTTTTTTTTTAGCACCTAGACACAAATGAGCACTTCCTTGCAGTGAGAGGGTAGCCCTACTGTTCTTTAAAGCTTCGAGGCTGTTTGCTTCAAAGCATGCTTTACAAATGTTTGCTGTACACTCTGCTCTTATACAAGCTGATGCCTAAACAAACAAGTTCCTTCCTGCACTCACCAGCACTGTGTCTGAATTTAAGCTTTACCGATCCACACAAATAAATGTGACAAAGCCCTTCAAGCACCTAAGAACAATGATTTGAACGTGCAAGGTACAACTCACTGCTTACCTATACAAGCACTAAGATAATAGCACTCACTCTGCTACACTTATCAAGAAAATGTTTGCATCCCCTTCTATAAATGTTGTTTTATAGCTTCTTATATATGGTAGATAGTGTTTAGGATTTGTAGAATTCACCAACCTTATGCAATGTTGATAGACATAGGTAAAAGGATAGTGAAGGTCATGTTCATAATGGAGATATGTGCCGTATATACTGCACATGTTCTACAGTTCTGGCAAAAATAAAACCAATTACTGAAACCAATTATTAATCCTTATATTTTTCTTTCATTTTGGACCACCGAATGTCCACCAAATGTAAATTACAATATGCATGGCAATATACATTGCCTACAGTATACTTGAAAATAATTTGTATCTATAAAAATAATTCATAATCATATCATTTTTCTTTTCAGTCATCTGGTAATTAAAAAGGAAATAAAATAAAGTAGCAGGGTTCAACCATTTTGTTTGCCTGCAGATATCACTGTATTACTCTTTTTTTTAGATACATATACAGGAGGAGTATTTCTTACAGCGAAGTAACAAGCCACTGGCAATTTCATCTCCGCACTACATCCTTTATGGACGTAAGCAGATTACAAAGTGCTGCTTACAACGATAGTATGAAATAATTGTGATTTCAATTGAATGAGCTTTTCCATTCAGCTGCAGATTTGTCTTGCCTTCCATCAGTCTGCTCCTAGGAACAACTATAAGTCATCTCCTAAAAACCATTTCCATTGATGAGAGAACAGAATTGGTTTCTTCTCCTGGTCTGTGAAGGTTCTCATTTATCAGGCTATGGTATAAGCTAGTAGCAGTTAGTCACATTCGACCAGACTTGTTCTGAAAGAGTTTTACCATTCATCCAAGTAGATTCCTGGAATATTCATATGGGTATAAATGCTGGGGTATGCCCCTGACACTCATTAGAACTGAGGAAGCTACTTCGATGAGAGGTGACACATGCTCAACATTACAGAACAAGTCCAGTTGAATGTGACTAACCACTACGAGCTTTCACCCAATTTATATATACAGCTATCAACATAGCAGAAATCAGAGGAGCATTATTCTACAAATCTCAGGAAGTAGAAGGAGGTGTGGGGAGCTGGATCTCTTAAAGCAGAAGGTGTTTTCAGTAAGCAGTGTACAGGGACTGTTTATACTTGGGCATCTCTCCCAGGAGTAGTGGCTGAAGATCACCTCTTTGTTTGAGTAGAGACTTGGTGTACAAGGAAGAAAGCTCAAAGTAGCAGAACATATATAGTTCAGATATTATTTGGACCTTTGAATCATAAAAATCCAAAGTATTTTGCTTAAACAGTATCTGTAACAATTAGGGATGCACCGATACCAAGTACAGTACTCGGTACAAGTACATGTACAGATACTTTTCCAGCTCCAGGGCTAGACTAGAGAAAAATTCAAAAGTTAGGAAGCAGCTGTCATGTGTAAGGAGCACACGGAGCTCCTGGGATTTGTACATCTGTTTTAATGTATGATTTTGTTTTTATAAATAAAGGGATGCACCGATACAAGTCTTGCAAGTACTGATACTTGCCGAGTACTTACAAGTACGAGTACTGATACATTTTTGTTTATCGTCATGTGACAGTTTTTCTAAAACAATACAGACTAATGATTTCAGCACAGTGGTGGAATGCCAGGGCCCGGTCACAGCTGCAACCCTGGTAGTTCTCATGAAAATGCCAAGTATCGGCACTTGTATCGGTGCATCCCTAGTAACAATCATATTTAATTAACCCTTAAGATTTCTTCAATTTTATCAGTACAATACACGCAACAACAGTTCCAGGACCTGAAGGAGGGCCACTGAACCTCTGAAACGCAATGGCTTGTTATGATTAATTATGATGAGTCTGAATAACCCCTGCATGACTGAGGCCTTTTTTACATTTTTTGCACCCATGTTATATTCCACATTTTAGGCCTGAAAATTACTTAAACCCCCCAACATTATATATTTTCTGAAAGCCAAGGACCTATAATATAAAATGGTGGCAGTTACAAATTTTTATGTTGCAGGATATTAGCGCAACTCCTTATCAAACCTCAAAATTTAGTGAAAAATCCACCTAAATGCCCCAAAACACAATAAAATACCAATTTTTTAGAAAAAATATAAAAGATGAGGTTACAACGAGTAAATATATACCCAAAATGCCCTGGTTAAAAATTGTGTGCGTCCGTTAAACTGCGACAAAATAACCCAAAAAGTCCATAGACGCTTTAAAAGCCCCCACAGGTCATAAGTTTAGAGATACCCCAAAATACTGGCCTTAGAATTATTGCTCTCACTCCGGCATGTGCAGCGCGTTCGTCGTTTTCATACATAGGCGCACACGACTCGTGTTTACGTGAAGAAGCCTGTGCTCGCGGGGGCGGGGGACTTTTAAAAAATAGTTTTTATTATTTTTACATTTTATTTAATGTTAATTTTAAAAACTGTTTTTTTTTAAACTTTAATTGCTATCACATAGGGGGGCTTACAAGCTCCCCATGTGATAGCAGATGGTGGTGACAGGTACTCTTTAAGGTGATGCTGGGGGTCCAAAAGACCCCTAGTATCACCTTTGTACTCTAAATAAGCTATTGAAGTGCAGATCGCACTTCAATACCTTATAGCTGGGCTTCAGGAGCCCAGCACTGACAGCTATGGGACTGGAAGTGATGCAATCTGCATCGCTCCCGGTCCCATAGAACAGGGAGGGGATCGGCGAACAGAGGTTCGCCTATCTCCTCCCCAACTTCCCGCCGACACTAAAGAAGCCGGTCTCGGGCCCGTAGGAGGGGCAACGGAGCCCGGGAAACACGGCGGGGGTATCGGGCAGGGACACACACACCCGTTCACTGGCACGTAGAAGCGATCTGGCAGCAGCTGAGCCGCCAGAATCGCTTCTACTGTAAAGCCGACAGTCGGCTTTACAAGTTTAAACAGAGTCCTGCCGGGAGTCTGTTTAAACAGCCCCGATGCCAGTGACGTACATTAAAATTAAATCTGCACTCGACAAGTTCTGCTATTAGGGCTTTTCTACTTGCACACCGAGTACCATGGAAACAGTCAAGACACAGCTTACACTTCATTTAAGAAATGACTTAACTGGAAGATAAGAGGAATCCAAAGCAGCAGGCAGAGTCACTTTAAAAATGGTCAAAGCTTATTCTTCTTAAGCAGCTCTGGGCGAATGGCTCAAAGCAGTCACAAGACAGGGCACAATGGCCATGTTATTTTTACATATTTAGTTACAAATATATGACAGTATTAAAAAGATTATGTAAGAGGGGCATACAATCAAAAGCTAATTTGCCTGAATGAACAATGTATATCATTAAAATATCAATTAAATATTACAATCAAACAAAATGTTGATACCCTGCGGAATTATTTTGGCCATAAAATATTAGAATAAAACAGCTCTTACTAAAAAAGAATTCACAATTTGATTAAAGATAATTAAATAAAACAGTTGTGTACTATCGCTAAAACTCTACACATATAGCCGTCCAAATAAAATGGCTGGTTAAATGTTGTGATGTGGCCACTGCATAGCAGCTAATTACACCAGAGACAAACAATAACAGTGATAAGAGGACAGCAGAGCAAGACAATTGACAGCCATTTCTAACATGTTGCAGAAGATGCAGGCAAGAGCTTACATACGGCAGAAAATAAATTAGTGTCATGGATGACCAAGAGCAAGTAAGTACGTGCAGTTTGTGCTTTTGAGAGCCCAGTGGAACACTGTATGGCTCAATCTAGTGATAAGGAATAGGTGAAGATAGCCAGTCAGCTTGCTGCAGAGCCCGGTATGCTTCTCTAGTAAACAGAGATAATGAAGCATGCTGGGTGCTGCAGTCTCCATATTGTCAAGGTTCTGGTAATACCGATTCTCCTGGGGCCAGTTTGCATTGTGAAAGATCATGTGAAATTGTGAAAGATATATCCTAATATATAAATCAGAATGAGATGGAAAAGTGACTATGAAAACCTCTATACCAGTAGTCATATGCAATATAGGAGAAAGTCTGGGGCCTGTTAAACACAGATGTTGGTGGATAAATACATTTCAGACTTTTCTTGTTATTCTTGATATCTACCTTAAGAGGTTCTCAGAGATCCAAAGCTCCCTTAACACACCTGAGTACAAAGTTAAAGCCACGATGGAGAACAGACAAGGGGTGGGAAGGTTTCTGACCAGTGCAGTGTGTAATTAAGAGTGATTGTTATGGTTTGTTTCTTTTACAGGGAAAGACAAATATCAATTCTAATCTCTAGCTAGCTGTATGCAGACTAAACTGTAAGGTTGTCTGAGGATATGGGAAGTGCCTTTGAGGTGAAGAGTGCAGATACAGGTCTGCCGAATATGGTATTGTAATAAAACTGGCTAAAATATGCTAAATCATCCTCCGTCTTCTGTTCTTGGCAGGACGGCCAGGCCTGTTTTGCCGGACAATGGGACGTTCAGCCTGTGAGACAACAGAAGACAAGAATCAGTCTTTCTAACCAGTCGACTAATATCAGCGGGTCAAAAAACTAAATTTGTGGTTCATGATACAAAACTTTGTCAATTATAAATCCTGAAACTTATACATGCAGCAAACTGATTACAATTTCAAAAGTAAAAACAATAGAATTTCTGTATCCACCGTGAAATTATTTTCTTGGAGTCTATTGAGGGACACAAGAAGTCTTTAATTTTGGGGTATAATGCCAACATAAGGAATGGACACTGACAAACTGTAGTGAGTACAAAAACCCTATTTTCTTTCTTTGTGTACCCTTGAAACGTCCAAAAGCAGTCCAAATGGGGCATTAGATGAGGCTGAAACATCCACCTAATAGAACTTTAGAGACGTTGAGAATGTGTAAAGAGAAAACTAGATGCCAGCCATGCAAGACTGGGAAATTGTTGCAAGATTCAGAAAATCCCAAGAAGCACTAGCAAATGTAGTATTGTGCGTCTTGACAGGAAAGGCAGGAACCTGATCTTCTACACCAGGAGATTGAATGATGTTTTGGCTGAGCCACCTACAGATGGTTGATAAAGAATCCAGTGCACTCTTTTGCGGTCCGCAAAAAAGAGTGCGGACCGCAAAACTGTTGGTCAGTCCAAGATAACCCCATCCTGCTATCAGTATGTCTCAGATGTGAGAGACAAGACTCTCTCACATCTTCTACAACAGGAGATTGAATGATGTTTTGCGGTCCGCAAAAGAGTGCACTGGATTCTTTATCAACCATCTGTAGGTGGCTCAGCCAAAACATCATTCAATCTCCTGGTGTAGAAGATGTGAGAGAGTCTTGTCTCTCACATCTGAGACATACTGATAGCAGGATGGGGTTATCTTGGACTGACCTACAGTTTTTTTGCTTGCCACTGTCCAATGATGTTGTAGGCAGCAGTATAACCCGAAGGTTAAAGGCTTTATGTGTCCCTCAATGGACATGAAAGAAAAAAGCAGGGTTTAGCCCCAAAGGTGGAAAGTCAAGGGCCAGAGTAGCAAACTTAAATATGGACCATGGGGATGCACAGAAGATGTTTTCTAGGGACAAAAACGACAAGTCAACAGCCAACATCAGTCTTCTTATACTTAGCAGCCTTTTCTCTTTTCATTGATCCCTAGTGAGTTACCACACAAATGACATAACGACGCAACATTACATGTTATGTGGCAGATGGGGTTCCCAAGAGAGATGTGACACACATACGTATGGTAAAGTTTGAAGCCAGTGTAAACAAAATGACAGTGCTCGTTGTTGATGGTTGCCAATTGCTGACTTCTTTGATGGAAAAATATGAGCAATGCTTACATTTAATCCATTAGCGGGATCCACACTTGACCATTTTGCAGGAACGTCTTCTAGGCGAGAATTCATCCTCTGTGAACTGGAATCAGAACAGTCATGTATCAATATGGGAACTGCTACAGTTTATGAATGTCAATGCTTTTAAAAGGAGAGCTCAAGGCAAAACACATCCTAACCAACCAATGATGTCCGTAAAAAAAAAACCCCTTAATTCTTGAACCCAGTTTTGCAACTTTGGAATGCGTTAGCAAAAGGGTAGATATCTTTGTAACTACCTGGTGTATCCAGTTGAATTATACCTTGTTTTGTTTGGGACAAATTGGGCCTTCAAATGGTGGTAAATATTTATGGATGTCTCCTGATTATTTTTTTTTAACTAAAGAGAAACTTGGCCAAAATATTACATTTAAAAAAATAAATAAGTGACCCACCACCAAACCTCCCCAAATAAATTCCCCTCCTGATGTGCATGGGCATACCACATACGAGTTATTTGTTTGTGGTTTGTACCCATAGTAGGGCCCAGAACCAATAGTGTGCCTTTTTTATCCTACTTAAAACACAATAATCCTAATTTATGTTGGGGGTTTAGAGGTAGTTAATACCTATGTTTTGTGTTATAAGAGTTCCATAAGTGTGTACTTTGTAATGACAATGGGATAGTTCACGAGGTAATCGCTTTTAAATATTCGTGTCATCTGAAATTACCAATAAACACAGTAATAGTTGTTGGACGTATGTGCTATTGTCATTTTTCGTATAACTTGGATGTTGATTTTGTATATGAAAGGCAATCAAATAAAGAAAAATATATTCTTTAAAAAAAAAAATGATCCTAATTTATAATACTAACACAGCTTGTTTGCTTGTGAACCCTCCTGGTCACTTTCTCATGGAAAGTAGCTATTGCCGTGAAGAATGTGCGACATTCAGTGCAGATAATGCTGCAGGTCTCAATCCAAAAAGGCATGAGCACATAGCCAGATGTTATGCAAGTTTATTGATAATTGTTAAAATGACTGGAGGTCCCTAAAACATGCAGCTAGAAACCAAATGATCACATTTCAGGTAAAACAGAGTGTGAGCTTAAAAAAAAAAATGAAAGAAAATGTATTTTGTAATATGTCTAGGTGGGGGAACTAAATTAAAGCCTATTTTATTTTTATAGAATGAGAAGGGTGTGAGCCTTCATTTTTTAATCCGGTTTTCCGATTAGGAAAATCTACCTAACAGGAACTGCAGTAAAAATTTGACAGAGGATCTGTTCCTTCCTACGCTATCCAAAGAAACTGGATGTACTAGATGTAAGGATGTATGCATGAATACAAATTCCATAAAAGCTTCATTATTTAAACACGTTCTTTCTATGCAGTGGAGGACAGTCACCAAAAGGCTCCTGTGCAAGACCACTTTTTGGCTTTCCTATCTGACTACTGCCCTAGTATAAATAGGACAGACAATGAGTGGTCCTTACAATACCCTTAATTCTCTAATTGCGCAGAATATCCAACAGGGATTATACAACAAATACCCCTTTCCCATACAGTCCAAATGGTGGAAATAGGAGAAGCATTCTGCATATCTCAGTCAGATAGTAAGTGAAGTAAATGCTCGCTGCCTTTTTGAAGCCACAAGAATGGTTAGGATATCATGAAAAATGTGCCCTAATCTTGCATCTACCTGACACTAAAGGTGAGCAATGTCTTAGTCTATGTGACAGTGGGAGGGGATCAAAACCACTCCACCCACATCTAGCATAAACGGGCTACTACATCCCAGAAGGCCCTTGTGCAGATGTAATATCTGCTTAAATGGTAACTTTGCCTCGGTATTATCTGCATATATATGTGCACATGGGCAAGACATAGTCGTTCTTAACATATACAGCCTTGGATAACAGTGCACAGCAGTGATTGTGCTTCCCTGCTTCTATTGCTCAAGGCCGCCTATCAGTCTACTCTCAACAGATGTTCAGAAGGGATGCTGACCACACTCCCAGGTATAGTGATAATCACTGGAGGGAGGATCTAAAAATAAGTACGGTATATGAAACACGGTTTTTAGAATTGGTTCTTGAAGCAAACAAAACTCAAATAAATAAATAAAACCTCAGGCAAACAATCCAATTATAAAAACAAAAATGTGTGCTTGATGAAAATACACCATCACTTACATTCAAGAGCTATTGTACTAATATAAGAGGTGCCCCAAAATTAACATTTTAAAACCGAAAATAAAAACCTTTTCAAATATTTTATTTTTTATAAACTTTTTATTTTTTAAAATAATTTAATAATTTACTTTACGGTTAGGGGCTTCGGGCAAATATTGGGGGTCTAAACAGACCCCTGATATTTCCCTTTTAAAATAGAAAAAGAGATTGAGAACACAGAGTCCTCGATCTCTTTTTCTGCAACCCCTGTTATGAATGAACAGGAATCCTCTATGAGTGTTCCTGTTCATTCTTAACTTGTGGACATTGCGTGTTTACTATAACCACAATCATGAATGAACAGGAGGTGATGTAGATCACTTCCCATTCATTCATAATTGAGGATATAGTAAACATGCAATGTCCTCAATTATCTACAAACACTCAGCAATCACTGATCGCTGAGTGTTTGCATTGGCTCTCCTCTCTGACACGCTGTCACAGGAGGCTGAGCGAGCGGTGCAGGGAGAACTCAGCCTCCTCTGACAGCGTGAGCTGTCTCCGCCCACACACCGCTCTGCTGGACTGTGATAGGAGGCTGAGCAATGTGGGAGGTGAGACGCCGGCCGCTCACATCGCACTTCTCGCAGCGCTCTGCCGGCTGTCACAGTTTCTCTCCTCCGGGCTGGGACACAGAGCAGCGCCCTGCGGGGAGGAAAGAAAGCTCGGATGCTTTATAAACACTCAGCAATCACTGAGTGTTTGTACCCGCTCTTCATCCTGACACGCTGTCATAGGAGGCTGGGTGGGGCAGTGTGGGGAGGAGAGCTCGGTCTCCCTCGACGGCCGACTGCTCCAAGCCTCCTGCAACAGTTTCTCTCCTCAATGCTGTGTCAGAGGGGACACAGAGCAGCACCCAGCGAGGAAGACAGAAACCATGGATGCACTGCAATTTCGACCGAAAGATGGCACTTTTGACATTTTGCCAAAAGTGCCATTTTCGGCCAATATGTTTTGGCGACTGAAATTTTGGTGCATCCCTAATATATTATTGACATATTACTAACACAATTTAACTTACTTTTGGCCTCTTCTTCTGCCACGCCGGGAGCGTTTCAGCAGCTGGGGTGGCACCTGGTGATCACAGAACAGTTCAATTTACATAACAAAAATCATCAACTCAGCCTTCTAGTCTACAATAATAAATAGAAAAGGAAACCTGTAGTAAGTATATTGCTGATTTCTCATGAATATACCAGTTCACTGACTGTCATGCCAATCTAGAGGCTTCTGTGCTTTCTACGTTACAGATCTAGAGCAAGTATGAAAGACAGGAGTTCTGGCTCCATTGTCTTATCTGCATGCTTGTTCCAGGTCAGTGACACTAAACTCTGAAGGTAAACCTTAAAAATGCATTCAAGCACCTTCAATATTAACAAAAATCTATCTTATTTGTTTATCACTCCGCTCTAGATCCTCAAATCATCTCTGAATTGGTGCTGACACTGTCCTTCCTTCTGAGGGTGGCTACTTTTGTTCCCCATGGTTCCTGTGTGTGTTGTAAAGTAGCCACCGCTCCCAGCTCAAATTAGTAAACTAAACATGAGATTCTAGTCCATCAGCTTGGAGCGATGGCAACTTTACAACACACACAGGGACCATGGGGAACAAAAGTAGCCACCCTCGGAAGGAAGGACAGTGTCAGCACCAATTCAGAGATGATTTGAGGATCTACAGCTGAGTGATACACAAATAAGATACATATTTGTTAATAGTTCAGGTACTTGGAAGCATTTTTAAGATATAACTCCTGAGTTTAAAGTCACTAAAAAGCAGTATTAAACTCTCAAACGTTTTCAATAATGAATCCAGATCAAACAAATATTCATTGACCAGCAAAGCATTGTTATATTTATCCCCAAACAATTAAAATCATCATGTTTCTGAGTAGCTGTTTCCAAGTCTCTCAGCTCAGCTTCCCTGAGTTATCTGTCCAGTACAAGTCAATTTGTTTGCCTGAAGAAGGGACCTATACGGTTCCGAAGCCTTGCTTCTTTTGTCAATAAAGAACATTGACTAAAATTCTCATTGGAGTGCGAGTGACTTTTCTACTACGTGATACTGATCTGCAAAGGCATCTGCTGTCATCTCAGCACCCATTATCTTGGGTTATATCCGGTCAGGAGTGCGATGGAATCTACTTGAATTACCGTCTAGTACAAGATCACGAAGGACAGTGCAGACTCCAGCAACTGTTCATCTACTAGCTTGGAGAAGGTAGGAGGGGGCCAGTGGGCCGAGTAGTAGCTTGATTTGCGGTGTTTGTGGAGACACATACAGCTTACTAGCGCACACAAGGGTGGCTGCATAGCACTCTGCTTGAGAACGGAGTCACTCTAAAACAGGAATTCAGGACCAGTGCTCAGGAGACCGGCTGATTTTGCAGGAAACAAAACTTAAATCTCAGGGAGCAGCATCCATTGTAATTTCATCAGCATTTGACATAGCTTAAAATCCTTTTGACTTTAATATTACTTTGACTCAAAGGCTGCCAGGAAACTTGCATATTCAGAAGGCGGTAAGCCATGGCAGCCGCTATAATTCTGAAAAGGCATATACATTGAAAATAAAGTGCTCAAGTACATGAAAGTGACCCAGTTCTTGCAAATGTATACATAAAACATCCATTCTTTTGTTTTGGATTGAAGGTAATTAACACAACAAATGAGTGTTACATATTGCCATATGTCCCTGGATTCTGCACAAATATGTAAAGTGTTTTTATACCAGTACATTCTACTAAAGAGAAACAGGAACATTTTTCAGCAATGCTGTTTCCTATGTCACATCTCCATCTCCAGCTTTCTCTGTGGACAATATAACAGCATCATCAATTCTGTCCAGTGAGCACACCTAGGACGCAGTAATGTTAAACCAGGATATAGCAAAGGGATCTTATTAACCAGCAGAAGTGTGTGTGTATATCACAAGAACAGCCAATATTACAAATCAATAGACAGCTAAAGCAGTACACATAACCTAAAACAGGGAGTGTTTAGGGCTACAGAACACTTCCCCCTCTCCTCCATAACATAGGGAGAAATGTCTCAATCCACAGAGAAAGCTGGGAACAATGCTAACTCAGAACAGTCAGCAGAGGAAAACAAGAATGGGAAGTTATTAGGATCTGGCAGGATCAACAGGTATTTTTTGCGCACCTATAGAATAGATTTTAAAAAACCCCAACACTTTCAATGCGCTTTTTAACAAATTAAAAAAAGGAGGATGGTTAAAATGTATACATACACAATGACATGGCTTAACAGCTTACATTGTAACTTACTTATTCTTGCTGAATATACAAATGTAGTCATGGACAGATAAACCCTTATTTTAGCTTCCCATTGCTCTAAGTTCAAACACAGGCATGGCTTACAATAACATTTCTATACTTCAATATGTTACAGGAAAGGGTTTGCAGTAAAAGTTGGAAACAATAGATAAGATTGAAATGTTCTGTGTGCACCACTATGCCAGGGCTTGCTATTGGTGTCAGCCATGGTATCCAGCAATTGCTCTCTTTCAGGTCATGTCTTGCCCTGAGTGAGAACCTACAATTACGTTCCCTTAATTCACAGTTACTGCTGTTGCAAGCTACAGTTCCCACTGTGTGTGTATACCATATTGTTTGCTCCCTAAGATGCACTTCCCCCCCCCCAAAAAAGGCGGGGGGGGGGAAATGTGTGTGCGTCTTATGGAGTGAATCTCTATCGCCCGACGCCCGGGACGTGCAGTTTCGGGCGCCAGGCGAGTAGTTTTTTGTACATTTAGCCCTTCTCTAGACAAGCAGAGCTAAATGTACAGTGGGAGCCGCTGCTCATTTAATACAAGTGATCTAATCAGATCACGTGTATCAAACCGAGTGGCGGCGATCATGTCCAGGGGGCACCCCCCCGCTGTGGTTTTAGGGGGCCCCCGCTGTTCTGGGCATCTCACCATAGAGCCCCTAGAGCAGACGAAGAACGTCCGGTCTTCGTCTGCTCTGTGTGATCACCGAGACCGTGGCGCTGTAATCACAGCGCCAACTGTCTCAGCTGTCACTAACTACAGCTGCTGTCACAGAACCTGTCACAGAACCTCCCTGCGTCCTATGGTCCAGGGCGCCTTATGGAGCGCAAAATACTGTAAATAAACGTAACTTATTGTGTGTATGTGTAAATATCTATATAGATCTATCTTTATAGATATATATACACGCGCACACACTGTATGTATGTGGATAACTATAGGCCAATTAAACTGTAATTTAGCCATAAATAACATTAATACAAAGCTATAATTAGATATGTTATGACGCTTAAATAAATGTTACATAGTAGCATAACAGTATTTTAAATTCTTATATAAAGTAACAGCATGCACTCTAAACTTGTCAGGAAAAAGGCATAGACAAACATCTGGACAAGCCGCTGCTAAAGTGGTTATTTTTTCTTATGATATAGCTTCTTGGTATGCCTCCCTTCTTGTTGAGTTTATGAACAAATTATTATTTCCTAGCAATAAAATAAAGGCCTGAAATTGTACATGTTACATAAACTCTTGAGACATATATATTCACGCTGTGTGTGTGGGTTATATGTGTGTATGTATGTATGTATGTATGTATGTATGTATGTATGTATAACCCACAAAAATGACAGGATAGCAAACAAGCGATTTCTGTAGGTCTCAGTGAGACTTCTGCCCCTGACAACAGTTTTTTTGGTTCACTCTTGTTGATCAAACTGCTCCAGATGTCTTAGGTAAAGGGTGCCCTTTCCAGACTGCATGCTTCTGTTCTTTCATAGATGTTCAATAGGATTCAGATCAGGGCTTATAGAAGGCCACTTCAGAACAGTCGAATGGTTTGTTCTCAGCCATCCTTGAGTGCTATTAACTGTGCTTTGGGTCATTATCCTGTTGGATACCCCATGACTTGCGACTGAGTTTTCTGGCACTGGGCAGTACGGTGCCTTTCAGAATTCCTTGATAGTCTTCAAATTTCATTGTGCCCTAAACAGAGTGAAGGTACCCCGTGCCAGATGGAGCAAGCAACTTCATAACATAACCAAGCCTCCTCCATGTTTCACAGTAGGTAAAGTGTCCTTTTCTTTGAAATCTTAATTTTTTCAACTGTAAATATTTTCCCCTGACTCTGTCTGTCATATGCACTAGCACTATCCTTCTGTTCAATCCTGGGCTGATTTTTCTATTGCGACCACGTCCAGGGAGGGTGGCTACACTCCCATGGATTTTAAAGTGACATTAAAAGCAAAAATATCCCTCCCCCCATCCTTAAATGATGCTTGTTGATCTGATGATTCTTCTTCTTTCCAGTAGTTTTCAGGAGTCCCTCCAGCACTGGTGCTGATCTCTGATCCAGCGCTGACTGCTGTGTTTTCCGTGTCCCACGGTGTCTGTCCACGCTGCGTGCATTGACTTACACTGAGTCTCGCCTCTTCTCCCGGCCGCTCTACTGCGTGCATGTGCCTTCCCCATTATGCTGCTCAGCCGCTAGAGAATCTTCAGATCTTCAGACGGGAGCAATCGGTGTAGAGAAAGATAAGTAAAACCCTTTTTGGCAACTTTTTAAAAATGCTTTTGCATAAGTATACTGCTAGCATCACTATAATCCAATTATTTATAAACTTTTCTAGGGGTACCAACAAATCTGTAGAGGCTATTATAAAATATCTTTGTAGAATAAGCAATAATTTAGCACTTTTCACACTTTCTTTGCTTTACTATGAGGTATGGAGGCATACATGAGACAATTGCTTGTAATCACTTCACTTTTCAGGAGGAATAAAGCATTGTTTCACTGAACTGTAAGGGAACAAGCAAATTCATCCATGTCTGCAGCTTACCTGAAAATTGAAAGTTATGCTGCTAATGTCAAATGTGTATTAGACTGATCATGTTTCAAGACTCTCTGTTTTGAAGTACAAGAAATGATTAGGAAAACTGAGTGAGGTGACTAGGTATATCTACTCATCTCCTTCTTCTCTCCAAGACTCCCCCAATGCACCACTTCCAGTAAGTTCCATTGTGATCCATTGCTGTGACCTAAGACCAGCTTCTGCTTCCAGGAACCTATAAAAGCATATATCTGGACATGCATTCAGGTCTTGCAAGTCATTCTTGAACTTCCAAGTGATGGATCAGCTACTTAATCAAAATTGGCAGTTGTGAATATAACAACATTTTAAACAAACAATTCTGTAGACAAACAATATACATCTGCAATTCAAACATATGCATTCACACAATACATACATCCACCTCCTGCTCCCTGGGCTGTCCTCCCTCTTCCTGCCAATGGTGAGAATATGGAGACATTGCCAGCACAGGCTGGGTCAGATCTTGACTGTGACCTGCTTCTTCTCCATCGTTCTGTGTGGCTTCCTCTCCATTGAATCTCCAGTACGAGTGCCGTGAACTGGAGAGCCTATCACCACGGGGTCGACGACCATAAGATCTCTCTCCTCGGGAGCGACCATTGAACCTATAGCTTCGCTCTTTACCCTTAGAGAGTTCTCTTTCAGGAAGGTTTGACGTATTGGGTGGATGAGGTGAACCCATCCATGGGAGGTTTGGGGAAGCTCCGTTAGGGACTTCAGAGGAAATTACAGCATCAGTAAGCATCCTGCACCTTTTCAGTGGAGATGCTTCTGGTTCTGTCTCAGAGGGAGGATCCAATGACTGGGATAATGTATCTGTTCTTGGGGGATCAGAAGGTGTGTCCGGGGGAAGGTCAGTTCGGACTGGTCCCTGAAATGGGGAGCCTTTGGGGATAAGTCCAATTTCAAAGGCACTTGAGGTGTTGGAGACATAGGAACCAGGTCGCAACAAGGGCAGCGGCAAAGTCTGAGACCTGTTAGTCATATCAGGTCTCTGGGAAGGGAAATTGGAGTCAGATGGCTGTTGAGAGATTGATGGGGGCTGAGATGTGGGTGTAATGCAGGTCTCTGGCTGAGACGAAGAGTTGACTTCTTTCTCTGACATTGAATGTGTCTGCCAAAAACAAAAAAAAGAAATTCAAATGGTGAGGAATTCAAAAATGAACCTGGAATGCACCAATAAGGGGGATTTCCTGTCAACTTTTTCATAGATTGCGCCTTAAAGGTATGAAACTGTATAGCTTTAGATAAATACAATGTCACTAATAAAGCAGTAAACAGTTTCTTGCTATATAATATTTCTATTTTAACAGCCTGCAGGAGAGCCGAGCATAAAGACCTCTAAAACAAATGTACAAATAGAAAAGATGAAAATTTCCTTTAATCTTCATGGGGTGCATTTTTTCTATAGAAAAACATTCAGAAAATGTGCGGCTTTAGACACAGGTGTGACATTTTATTTACACATTGCTGCACACAGTGCAACATTACGCTGCCAGGCGCAGCTGAGAGAATGGGCCCATAGACTTCCATACAGGTGCATTCAAAATTTTACACTGTGCTTATCTCTGCACATTATTCTATGCACAGTTTATAGTTGGCCATAAATAATGGCCCTAGATTCATTCCTCTCACTCCATTGTATATGGTGATACCCAATTATGTGTTAACTGTGTTTATCACTGTTTATGGAGGAACATCCTAGGTGCGTGTATGCCAAACAAATTGAGTACTGACAGTTATTTACATTACTGAATGCCAGTGGCGAGAATATGGAAGCTGCAAACCCAGAATTGCTCAGAGTCCTCCCTCCGCTTGCCATTTTGAAGAACCCCAGCCTCTTTTGTGTTAACGTTGAGCCCAAGTAACCACCCTGGGCTAACGCTAAGGAGTTTAGTAGGGTAAAGTTAAATGAAAAGATTAACCCATAAAAAAAATTATTTACCGCTAGTTCATGGTCATTCAAATATATACATATTCTTTTTAAGCAGTAAATAAGCTTTACAATGAGCTCCTACTGACCTCTGTACCTGCAGGCACAGTGGAGTAATTCATCCTCAAGCTTCACAGTGGAAAGTACTTTGTTTCTTTTCAGAAGCTCAGTTCATTTTGTTCCTTGCCCTTTCACTGCCAAACCATGTAAGGCTTACGGCGGAACACAACCGCTTGCAGCTGTCCACGTCAGTAAGCCTTACGTCGGTGGCCTTTACAAAATTATAGCCAGCATCTGAGCGCTTCTCCTGCCCTTTCCATTTCTCCTCGGATCCCCGCTGGTCTCCCCTGCCTGCGCGGAGGAGGGAGCGCTGCCTGCTGTCAGAATGGCCCAGCGTGAGGAGAGGGGTCACGATGGCGGAGCTGGGAGGAGAGATGCTGTCATCCTGTCAGTTTCAAGATGATAGCGGCTCTGCGTGTGGCCAAGCGGAGGATCGGTAAATATGTGTATATTTAGAGTGATCAGCTGATTACTCCAATGTTTGTAAACAACTACAAATTTAGTAGCACCATCTTTTTATTTACCGGGCCTGTGCTTTCAGAAAATATATGGTTTGGGTAGTCTTTTACAAACGCTAAAAGCAGCAGTTGGAAATAAAAAAAAAAAAGTGAAAAATTGCAAAAATGGTGTGGCCAGCTGAACTTAAAAGCTTTCTGGAGGGCTTGGCAGGGAAAGGGTTAAAGATCATTTAGGCCTTGCTCATATGGCCTTCAGCTTGTATAATAGCCATGTGTGCAGAATGTTTATACAAAGCTATGAGCAAGCTTTAAGCAATATTGGTAAACCTTTCAAAGGCCTATTCTTTAAAAGGTCTTCCCAGTTCCAGTTTGAGAATGAACACATATCTTTTGGGGAGTGCTGACTGCCACTCTAAATAAGGTGCCAGCAGGCTTTCAAAAAGCCTCACCTAGTGCTGAAACTTACTGAAGCCTGCTAGCAGCTTGTTTAAAGCCATTTTCCAAAGTTTCATTATAGGTGTTTGTAAAATTCCTCCTATTACCCTTAGTTTTTGCAAATGCCAGTGAAGTCAATCAATCACTGGTTTCTAGAACAAGACAAAAAGGAAGGCTGGGGGGAGGAAATCACCTGAGCATTGCTCCGCTGTCCTTGTAAAAGTGACTGTCCCTGGAAGAAGTGCATTCCCAGGGCTCCTGGAAGAGATGGTAAAAATGCCTGCTGGTTGTGTAGCAGGGCCTGAGCTCCTAGAAAAGAGTGAAGGCTTCCCAACTGGGCACCAGGATTTGAGTTCAGCGCTGCCAGATCACCTGTAAAAGGTACAGCAGTAGGTCATTATTATTCAATGATATATACATGCAGGTCCAGTTATGCACAAAGTTCAAGCATATTAGTACACAAACATTAATGGATGTGGCTGTAATCGCTGCATACGATGTGCACATTTACCACCAAAGAGATCACCAAAATCAACAGTGAATAAAGACCCGAGTGGTTACTACACTTTTCTGCACAATTGATTTCAATATGCTATGGATAAATCACTCAGTAGTACAAGATCAAAACTGCCCATGTTGCTTAGCCCTTAGGGCAAGCATAAAAATAACTTGCATTGTGTATTTTCCTGTTCTAGCCATTATGAATTTGCTTCATTGGGCACCATGTCTCTGCAATTTTTATTATGTAGATCTAAACCGAATAAAAAAAATCTCTTATAAACCTTAATTTTAAATGAGCTTTTTCAGTCTTTGCGACTATGCAGCTTTCATTAAAAGAACACCAGGAACATTTGTCATGTGCTCCTGTACTGACACACAGTGCTTAGACATGGTAAACTGTTGTCACTATTAGAAGCCAGTCCCAGAGCAATGAAGTGCAGCTAACACAGGACCCAATTCAGATTTTAACAGATGATGGAGATTGAAACCACCTAATGGGTTCCCTGAGACAGCAGTGGTTGGCTCTATGCTGCTATTACCAGCACTACACAACTAATATGACAAATACAAGGGGGTTTCTGCTCACCTGCTTGATTGTTTAATTTATGTAATTGAAAAATGCTAGAGGGGGAGTAGAAACAACCCTATTGTAGTATTATTAGGTTACGATAAGTAGGAATTGTGACACTGGAATGATTTGAATTAGAGAACAAACGATAAAAACAAGAGTAATAGACGAGACTGAGAAGAAATGAAGGTGGAAGCTGCACAACTGTTCTCTTATGAAGTCTTTTTTTATAGTGGCGGACAGCACATTATATAAACATTGTAGTTCTAGGAAGCAGGTAACAACAATTGGAGCTTAGTAGAACTGCAATAATTATTGTACAGAAAGATTAAATAAACCAACCCTATGAACAACATAAAACATGAAGCAGATAACTGCTCCTTCTGGGCATATGGTCATCAAGTAGGCTTACCCAACAAACCAGCAGTGAGCAGAGGGTTGAGCAGAGGGGGCATTAGTGTGTTTAGCCTTCCAGACAACGTCGCTTGTGATGGTTGGAGCTGGAAGGGGCTGTGTGGCTCTGACGGAGGGATCTTCCCCTCTGATAAGGCAGGTGAATTAGTGGTTGTAGTAATAGAGGCAGACCCGGAGCAGGAGGTATTGATGCAGCTCTGTAACAAGAACATAAATAAAAGTTACTAGAACATAATCTATTTAATGCTATCTCAGTAAAAATCGCCAACCAGGTATTCCAAGCAGTTCAATTTTATCTTGTTTGAAATTACAATCATTCTTCTAAAGACAAAGTTTTGCACAGCTACCACCATCAGCACTAGTGCCACTTACAAAAAGAAAACAAGCCCTTGCACTTGCACTGCATCTTGTTTCTGGAATAGTGCTGGTAGATTCAATAACTGTTGATGGTCCAGATGGAAGGTCTCATGCCAGAGATCAATGCAGTTACTTGCACTGTTGATTTAAAAATGTTTGCCTTAAAAATATTTTCATAATCGGTTAGTTGGCTGATAATTTTTTTGATTAATCAATTAATCGGGGAAAAAATCAAATAAATGCCATTCTTAATTTAAAATAAAAATACACAAATGGAGTGTTACAAAGTTTACTTCAGATTAAAACTGCATGCAATTTTTTGCAATTGCACCGCACTGGAATGCACGGCATTGCGGTACTGCACTTTTTGGTGCGGCGATCACACTGCGGGTGGAAGGTGCATTTGGGCTGCCAATAAAATGAATGACACTGCAACGCACCTCCTGCACCAGAATTTTTCAGATGGAAACTTGACTTTTATCTCAACTTTTTTGTGGGTTTTTTAATAACTATTTATTTTTAAAATATTTCTGAAATTATTTTTTACTTAGTTTTTTTATTTTACTTTACCCAATTGTTTATTATTATTTCAAAAGGGAAATGAGAGAGATTGAGGACACTTTTTTTTTTTGCACCCCCAGCAGTCAGTAGAGGCTTCCTGCTCATTCATAAATCCAGGAGATAGTAAACAGATGTCCACAATCATGAAGTATTGTAGAGCACGGGGGTTGAATATCTTCTTCAGGAGAGGACAGTAACCCCACGACAAAGGCTGTAGGAGCGAGTGAACCAGCAAGGTCTTTGCGGACCAAGGCAATTTTTGATGTGTATCTAAACCAGAGGCGGCTCTAGAGTTTGCGAGGCCTTAGGCGAAACCTAAACATGAGGCCCCACTCAGGCCTGTGGTGTCTCACCAGGGCTCTGTGGGGATAAACCCAAAAGCAAATATTTGATGTCATTCAGTTTTATGTCATATCAATTCTTAGATGTGGTGGTTGCAATAGCTTTATTTCTTCCCTTTATTTTCACCTGGTGTAAGTCTGTTGTTTTTCAACATCCTTTAAACAGGCCAAGCAAAAGTGTCAGTTAAAGAATGCAAACTCCACTTTTGTTGACTAAAAAAAAAAAAATCAATCCCCTCTGAGGGATCAATATACATTGGAAAGAGTGATCAATGTACATTGCGAACCGTGTTGCAGATTTCTACCTGTTTCTGTTTGTTACACCATGTCCTGTCCAAACTGATTCCTGAATGGGAGTGTCTACGTTCATTATAATCAGCTGGTGGACTTTCTATTTTCTATTGAGGGAAGTTGCAGTGTCTGAATCCCTTTAAAAATAACTAACCCCGAGGGAATATTTCCCCATTGTCACCAAAAATGAAATTCCTATTGCAAGGGATGCCTATAATTTTACTTGTATCTTAATGAATATATCTGCCAAAACCACAGTCAGTCAATCACAGAAGCAGGAAATGACATATCTGGGGTGTTCTGTACATCGACTGTGTACAGAACGCCTCCAGTTCACTATATTGCATTTTTTTAAATACATTGTATAAAACTACAGTGGCTGCAGTTTTAAATGGAAATGTAAATTTTTAATAACATTAACCTCTTGCCGTCCGCCCGTAGTAAAAAAACGGACGGACGGTACTGCTGCATCAAAATGGCTTGTGTAGCATTTATATATGCTATACTTATATTTAGTTGGTTTTTTTTTGCTCTCCAATACAAGATCACAAAGGACAGTGCAGACTCCAGGAACTGTTCATCTACTAGCTTGGAGAAGGAAGGAAGGGGGGGGGGAGGCAGTAGCTTGATATGCTGTGTCTGTGTAGACACACACAGCTTACTAGCACACACAAGTGTGACTACATAGCACTCTGCTTGAGAACGGAGTCTCTCTAAAACAGGATATCAGGTCTAGTGCTCAGGGGACCAGCTGATTCTGTAGGAAACAAACTTTTAAACATCAAGGAGCAGCATCCATTGCAAGTTATTTTTTATTAGCATTTGAAATAGCCTAAAACCTTTTTGACTTTAATATCACTTTTAAGCCATCTCAGACCAGTCAATGTAGGCTGAGGAACATCCAGGTGTGTCCAAAGATCGATGTGCTGTTGTATTAGCTGCAGCTGGAAGAATGCAGAGAAGAGAGAGAGCTGGATAGCAGAAAAATGGCACACACATGCACAGTACAGCGCCTAAAGAGAAGGGCAAGCAGGTGCAGTGGTGCTCCCTAGGCGGATCCTGCAGGTGAGGAAAAATGGCACCAACTAAAAAAATAAACACCATAGCCAAACTTCTGCCACTCAATGTGTCACAGCTTGAGCCCCTCTTGTTAATCCCTTAGGAACTAGAGCATCATGCACTGTAGTGTCCAGTAGGGCACAGTCCTCACTTACCAACCAATGGTTTCTTGTGGCTGAGCATGAAGAGTTTTCAAGGGAAGCTAAGCCTCATCCAGCTATCCCCCCCACCCCCCCAATAGGCATACCCCCAGAGGGACAGGGTCACGCCAGACAGGAAGTGCCATGGTGCTGAACCTGTATAGCACCCAGCGGCTAACTCATCACGGTAGGAGTGGTTACATAGGGCTGTCCTTACAGATTTTTCTGCCAGTGTCCAATCACCTGAAGGAAGCTGCAAATATGCCTATGGTCTAAGACTTAAGGTAACCTGTATCCTGTAATCTACAATTATGAAAAAGGTTTTTGGCTTGACATACAATTTAACGGGGTGCAGATTTCTCAAATTAGTCTGGAATTGACAAGTGGCTCGTCTATGGATTAATGTTAAAGGATAATGATAAAGTATTGTCCCCGCAGGTGCTCCCCATGTGCTTACAGATATACCTACTGAAAATAGTACTTTGCAAGTGTTATTCCCCTGCGTATAGTATGCTTATTAGAAAATCAAATCAGGATGATTACCTCTGTCCAACAAGCAGGTAGGAGGTTAGCAGGAAAACTGCTCATGTGTGAATGGAGTCTAAAGCTGGCCATACACCTTACAATCAGAAGACTTTTGTCTTCCGTTGGTTGTAAGGTGATAAAAAAAAAAAAGTACGATCTGCACATCTTGGACAGGCAGATCGTACTTGCAATCATCACAAAGCCCGCCCCTCTGAGGGACGGGCTTCTGATGACTGCAATGCTGAACGGGCAGTGTGCGCTTGCGGCATTTGTCTTACGAGCAGGCCACAAACCCACCGACAATCGTACGATTCTCGGCAGGTTTTCGAGTCTGCTCGTAAGACAAAAAAGACGTGCGACCGTACAGTAGAAACGGTTGCACGCCTTCCATACACCTGCCGATTATGTACGATCGCGGGATTTCCCGCGATTATCGTACTATAAATCGGCAGGTGTATAGGCACCTTTAGTGAGATCTGATCCTGACATGCTGAGGTTATTATTGGCTGTTGTCAAGTTTGGAGCAGCCTAATAATAACCAAAAAAATTATTTAATTATCAAGCAGTCATAGTGACTGCTTGATATAATTAAAAATTAACCTCTTACAATGCAAATCTGTAGCTGAGCTGCAGATTTGTTTTTCACCCTAAAGGGTTACATTTTATTTAACCCCCTCATGATAGCGATGACAGTGAGACTTAATGACAGTGACATTGTAGGCCACCTAACCACTATTAACTTTTAGAGAAAAAAAAAAAAAAAATGTTAGCTTTTAGTTTGAGGCTGAGAAGAACAGAAACATTTCTGAGATCCTAGGGATGTGAGGTTTTTCGAAATAAAGGACAAATAAATGAATTTATTTTAATGCATTTTTTAGCTTTGCTATTTTTTTTAAAAAATTATAATAATCAAAACTGGGGAAAAAGTGATTTATTTAAAAGGAGAACTATGAGGCGAGTGCTTTTCACTCACCTCATAGTTCTAGCCGACCTGTGACAATGAGACTGTCACAGGTCCCCTCAGTAGATCGGGAGGTGAGCGAACACATAGCGGCGTTCGCTCACCTCTCGTTCCTGTCACGGCTCTCTGCCTTGACGGGAGGGGCTGGATTCCCCGCTCCACCAGCACTGACTGGCAGAATGGACGGGGGAGGGTACAGCTGGCTCTGCCTCTAGATAGGCAGAGCCAGCTGTCAGTCACGCAGCTGGGCGGATCCCGGCACAATTGTCGGGATCCGCTTCAGCTGCGGCGTCTCGGTATACCGAGAGCTACAGCGCGCGGTATACTGAGCCTAGTGTGACGGGAGGATGCTAGTTTGTGTCCTCCCGTTACCCGAAGGAGAACTATGGGGAAAAGCCTTAACCCCATAGTTCTCCTTTAAGTTTTTTCCTCATTTTATCTATAATTTATTCATCCTAAGTGAGGCTTTAGGCTCACATATGTGATATAAATATATAGCCCTATCTGTCCTCTAAAAAAACAATATATAACGTGTGTGGGTGCACTTAGAAAGTATATTACTTCCGTGGAAGAATCACACAGCAAAAATGTAAAAAGTGCTTCAGTCATTAACAAACAGAAACGGAAAAAAAAGCTTAGTCATGAAGGGGTTAAAGCCAAAACCTCTCTTTAGTTTTGAAATATGTAGGGAACCCCTGCCAGGTGCTGACAGAGGTGCTCTGTGTCCCACTGGGGATATTTCTCTTCAATTCTTGTCCTGGAGAGACAGGAAGCTAGAGAAAATCTCTTCATGTGTCACCAGAACACGTGTCTCCATCTGACCATTTACCCTCTTTTCCTGTCTCAATGGCAATGTTGCATTTACCATCACTTTCTATCCCGGTGACAATATTCACCAAATCAAATATAGAGAGGGAGAATCTACCTAGCAGGGACACAGACCGCAATAAAAACCTGACCGGGGTTCTAAAATGTTAGCTTTATGTATACTTAAAATAAATTGTTCACTTTACAGGTAATGAGTTCCCATTTCATGCTAATAAAATTTGACATTTTTGAATATTCACAATCATTTAATGTAGCAATTTCATTAACAGAAAGATAAATCACTGTTACCTGTCCAGGGCAGGCAGAGGAGTCAACAGCCCCTAAACTGGCAGCCAGTAGTGCGGAATTCAGGGCCATGAGGGCTGGAGAGGCAGAGACAGGAGGGAAGAGCAGTGGTTGGAGTGAGTTTTCGGGGAAAGTCTCAGACAAGGTCAGGTGTGTCTCAGGTTTCTCAGTTGTGTCAGTATGTGAAGAGGGCAGAGCATCCAGCAAAGGTGCGAGAGATGACAGAAGGCTGTTTTGTTGTTGATTCTGAGGTGGAATATCAAGCTGTGGTAGTCCAAGTCCTCCCAGTGGTAAAAGAGGATTATGTAGAAGAGATGCCATAAGTAGAGCTTGCAGAGCACTAGTTTCTGGATCACCCAAAGAGGACAACGTCAAAGGAGGATTCTGGAGTCCCAAGAGGCCAAGATCTGCACTTCCCAATATAGATGAGGACAGTAAATTGACTAAGCCTTGGTTAAGCAGCTGTTGTTGCTGGTTCAAGCTGAAGGAGAGTGGCAATGAACCTAGCATGGCTAGGTTTAAAAGCGCAGGTGTGGCAGAAAATGGCAAGACTTGATCCTGGCTCAAGAAGGAGAAACTGTCCCCAGCAGACGGCAGAGAACATGGCAGATCACTGTTGCCTTCTGTGATACCACTTTGTGACAGGCTGGGGGCTGGAGAAGATTTTGGTACTGGAGACTGGTTGGGTCGGCCAGAGGATGAAGCTACAATGAAAGGTGATATTAGAAAGAATATGCATGTGTAAATAATAAGCAAAACATATTTTAAATGTTTAAAACCATCTATGCATGTCTCTATTTAATGCAAAATAAAATGTAAAATACTTACATGGATTTGCCCCAGTGGGTGTTGAAGGTAACTTCAGTGGTAAAGGAGTCCCTGAGTTCTGTTCTGTAGCAGTCTGGACTATTTGCCCTACAAGGCCAAGAAGATGGTTGCTGATATCTTGAGAAGCTGGAGACATGCTTAGATTTTTGCTTTGGCTTGGGGGCTCCTCCACAGATGTACGAGGCATTTGAAGGGAAGAGGGAGTCTGACCAGACACTGACTGTGTATTAAGAACTTTGGATTTTCCCATGTCTTCATCAAGCTGTCCCCCAAATCCAGCAAACTTTGATACACAAGAATTTAATCGGGAGTGCCCACTAGGACTACTGGGAGTTTGGAGAACCTTACTAGTATCCTGTGGACTGGTATCAAGGCCTGGAGAATTCTTTCGTCTTTTTCTCTTCACCATTACATCCCTTCTCTGGGAATGAGTCCTGCTGGGAAGGGACCGACCTTCCTGTGTGACAGATGTAGAAAGCAACGTATTGGGATTCAGCAATCGGCTGGGTAAAGTGCTTGGGGCTGTGGTTTCAGGTTTGGTTTGATTTGCCATTTGGGCCTTAGCAGCAGCAGTAAGGAGGCTGCTGGCTGGGAAGGAAGCATTGCTTTGCTGACCCAATATGCACCCGAGAGGAAAGCCCAGTAAGCCTTGCGCTGCTCCCAAAGACACCGGTGGTGCTGATTTATTGCTTTGGTGGGTTAAGGCATGGCTGGCATTTGAAGAAGATCCCAGTTGGGCCTGCCCAAAAGGAGAGAGGCCTTCAAGTATTGCTTTTGGACTGTGGGGCACAGAGCGCTTGGGAGGGCTGATGGGCCTGGGAGATCTAGAACTTGACCTTGTGGGGGCAGGAAAGTGCTCAGAGGAGGCAGATGAGTGGCGGGACCGCTGAGGGGATGGCTCCACACTGCCAGCTGGGGAAGAGATGGAGGATATTGAAGACCTAGTTGTAGAAGGAGAAGTCAGTACTCCACTACGGGTGAAAGGTGAAAATGGAGGAGGAGGCAGTGCAAGGGAGTTCATGTTGCTTGGGTTGTGCTCAGGAGTAGGGTGATGGTTCAATAAGGGAACCTGAGACTGAATTAAGGGAGGAGAGTTTAATACATGGTGCTTTGGAGTAGGTGGTCTACAGCTGTTGGAATCCAAGATGCCTAGCGGATCTTTCTCAGGAAAGGCAAAAGGCCGTCGAGACACCTGAGGAGACTCATCCAGCGTCCTGGAGAATGCGCCACCTGGCACAAAGCTACAAGCATTAAGAGCTATCGGTTTGGGGGAGAGGCCTGCAAGTTCTTGACTACATGAGGGATAGGAAGGCCGGTGTTGGGAAGACTTTACTTGTGAGAAAGAACTGGAACACAGTTCATTAGATATGGCTTGCGAAGTCCTTGAAAACAACTCATAGTTACCATTTGATGGCACCGTTGGACAGTTTCTTAAGGCATAGGACTCACCAAGAGGTGCCCCATGATGCCTGGGCACAACAGGCCGCTGACTGGATCGTAAGCCAGAGTACCTTTCTCCAGGGTTAGGAGTGAAAGTATCCGATTTGTGATCCAGGGGATTCTCAGAATGGTGAGCAGGCATGCTATGGGCCTTCTCCATCATTAGTTTCGTGAAGATGTCAGGATCGAGTGAACAAGGGTGTTGTCCCATCTTTGGGCTGGTGGATGGTGCATGAAAATTTTGACTTGAGCCACATCCTGTTGAAGATAAACATAAACAGATAGGCTCACTGACACAAAGTGAGGACTGAGAATATAAAATATGTTAGGTAGACAATACAATGTATATTGAGGAGAATGTGCTCCAGTCAACAAATTAAATCAATTAAAAAAAAAATTAAATAAAACTGAAAGAAAATGTGGTTATTAGTTCCAAACTGTGTGCAAAGTACATTTTTAACTTGTTGCATGCAATATTACAGATACTGTAATGGTAATGTCCATTTTGGGGAACAATATAGTCACTTGGCAAAGCATTTGCTGCTTGGTATAACACTAAGCCAGGTAAGGATTTGGGAGTGAATCAGCTCTACGACCTGAAGGTTGCAGCCATAAATCTCTTTAAGAATAATCTGCCTCGTGCTTCAAGAGTCTCACAGGATGAGCTTTGAAAATGATACTAGATTGGTCTCTATGACTGCAAGGGAAAGGCAGAGAGGTCTAGTCCTTTTAATAACCAGAATGAGTGTATATCCTCTAATGTTTTCAGATGTACATGTGAAACAGATCAATTTCATATATATAACCTAACCAATGTCTGTTCATGTTTCAATAACATTTTTTCTATGTGTAGTCTGTAATTATATATGTACAAAGGACAGGCAAGTATTTATAAAGCGTAACTTTGTGCATTTATATGGTTGATATTACACAGCGCTTCGCAGAGTACATAGACCCATTTACATAATTGCCTGCTCCCCAAAAATGCTCACAATCAAATGTACACACACACACACCAGTTTGGGAGGATGCCCGTTAACAATCAGTATCTTTTCAGAATGAAGAAAGCTCACATAAACATGGGGAGAACATACGAACTCCTTGAGATAGTGATTGGTATGAGAATACATACACAGGCTGAGCTTCCTGGTTGTGCTTTGCTGATCCTCTAATCTCAATGCAAGTCTACCAGGTAGGGTATAATTAAAACAATAGACACTTGGGCCATCTGCTATGGTGTTTTAGGGCCTGTGTTAATCAGTGTGACAACAGATTGAGACACTTTTGAGATGATTCGGAATAAACTGACAATTGCATTTGATATGCAGTTGACCTTCTTCAAAGCAGGAACGTATGGGAACACAAACCCCGTCTGAGGCAAACAAAAGCCTATCAACACAAGCCCTCATCAGGAAATATTTTTTTCAATCAAATTAGTAAAGTGATCTGGTGATGTACTCTTAGTACTTTTTTTTTTTTTTTAGTAATAGGCTCATTATATTATTCAAAGATGTGTCATTTTGACCAAAAATAAAAATCTGGGAAGTTTACTCCAAAATGTAACCAGTTAGTTTTCATGAGCATTTATAGAAATGACAGATACTTATGTCTCCATCTCAGAAAATAAAAATATTTGACAACTGTACATGGATACAAAACATTTATGAACACAAAGTCTGGATACCAAACATGTCAAAATAGAGTCAGGTTTATGCACAACAAAGTCAATGTGGTGACATCAATTTTACTGAACAGTTTTGGTGCCCGATTCTCAGTACAGGTAGTGTGTGCATATGACTGGTAGCCTTTGGCTAGTGCAGTATTTTGAATGATTAGGTGAAACATTGGGTTAAAAGTTATGATTTTAGGGGTTATTTTCACCAATGTAAGGGCTCATGCACAGGGAGCGGGGGAAGTTTTTTTGTTCAGTGTTTTTCAACGCAACTGTATAGTATTTTATGGGTCCATACAACCTGCTGTGTAAAGATCAGTAACCTTGTGTCATGTAAAGATCCATACAAAAAAAAAAAAATCTGCATCTGTGGTCAGTAATTTATGTGTGTGCACATCTGCATGTGTAAACATAAGCTACAGGACTGGAAGAAGAATTTGGCGAATATGTACTTTTAAGCTTATGTTTTTTTGTTTTTTTTGCACAGGATCTTTCTGCCAGCCTCTGCCAGTAAGATCCTGTGTAGTGGGGCTCTCATGTAAAAAGGGGGGGGACTGTGATGTTAAACCAGGAAGTTCTGATGTGAAAGGAACTCCTAGTGTGAGAGGTGGGACTTTGGCATGATAAAAGGTGGCTCTCGATGTTAAGCAGGCTCCTGATGTGAAAGGGGCTGCTCCTGTTTTGAAAAGAGGACCCTTTGTGAAGTGGAAACCCCATTTAATGTATTTTTGCATAGGGTCCCCCTTAAAATCTATGCCAGACCCCTATCTGAGATGAGAGTTAGGGGGGAATTCAAAACTGGAGCAGACAGTCCATCAGAAAGCTGACGGTTGGCTAACAAAGGGTGAATTCCTAGCTGCAATATTAGTAGTAGTACCCACATCTGTGGCAGCAAAACGGTTTAGACCTGCAGACAATAGGCCTCAGTTTCATTTTGAATGGCCAATAATATTTGGAGGAGTTCTGAAAAGGGGGAAGCTTTATCTATTTCCTTTCACAGATTTCCTTTTTATTTTAAACTGCAATTTATTTCTGCTCAAAGCTATTTTTTTTTTAAACTGTAATTTATTTATGCTCAGATGTGACTTCATCCAGCCTCCCATAAATCTCTCCAACAATGCATCATTTACCGTATATACTCGAGTATAAGCCGAGATTTTCAGCCCATTTTTTTGGGTGAAAAGTGCCCCCTCGGCTTATACTCGAGTCAGCGCCAGCGATTTTCTCAATACTTTTTCCCAGTTTTTTTTGCTAAAATTAGGTACCTCGGCTTATATTCGGGACGGCTTATACTCGAGTATATACGGTATATTAATGTTTTGCTGGTAGCTGATTAACAGCCGCTGTGATTGACTCTGTTCCTGCTGGCTGGAGTCAGTTTCTATTATTAGTAGCTGTAGTCACCGGGCTACAGCAGAAAAGTGCTTTTCTATTATGCAGATGATGGCTTGAACAAATCTGAATGTGTGAACGGGTCACGCATCATCTCATGTTTTCCTTATCAGCAGGAGAACAAGTAGATGGAAACAAAAGAAATACACACCAGCAGCTTGATTTTGTAGTGCAAGGGGAGTACTTTCAATGCTCTTGTACAAGGTAGCAAGGGCCACAATTTTCCTACGATGGTTGCAGAGTTTGGTCATATCCTCCTCAGCCTTCACGTCTTCTGCGCTGCGCCTCTTCACCACAGCTCTAGGATCAAAGTTAAAAACCTGCAGGCAATAAAAAAAAATACTTAGGACTTTCTTCAACCCTACTATAGCAATTAATAGTTGTGGCTATCATGCATAGCCACAGTCCCTTTACTTTTGGAGTAGCACACACACACACACAACATACGGGTAGGTAAAGAATTCTAACTGCTCTCTAAATGTACTTGCTTGTCTTAGTTCAGTGACTTAAAGTATTGAAATGAGAGACAGCCAACCAACAAGCATTTTTAAAAGGGTCAGTAATGGTAACCTCCACATTTCTTTTACCACAGGTTGCTTTCAATTAAGTACATTGGAATAGTAGGTGGTGTGTGTGGAACAAAAAAACATGTAGAACACTCATCTACACCACTGCCATCTATGCTATTTCATACAAACATTTTGAAATATGTAAAAGGCTTTCTAAGCAATAAGAGCACTGTTTAATATTTGTCCCGATCGCCTATAACCAGGAAATTTTGCAGCATGTTTCCTAAAGCAATTGTTGCTAAAATGAATGTGTGAAATATAGTGTTCCCTGCAAACAAGACAACTTTTTTTACTCACCTTTCCCAGTGCCCACACTGTCCATCTCAGCTGCAAAAAAAGTGAAAGCAACAGCTGAAGAATCCGTGCCATACTTCTAGCAGAATTGCTGGTCCCCTGCTGCATGTTGAGGTTTGATCTGCCAGCCCCTATATTATTAATGTGTCCTTTAGTTTGGGCTGGTGGGAGTCACCACAACATGCAGTGGAGGAACAGCAATCCAACACTCCTGAAAGAGCTGGAATTCGCAGATTCTACCGCGGGCGCTTTCTCTGACGCTACACTGGAGATCAGAGGAGCAGGCACTGGGAAAGGAGAGGAGAGTATTAAATGTCTTCTTAGCAGCGAACACTTTATTTCACAAACTGATTTTGATGACATTGTTGCTTTAAAGGGGATTTCACTTCAGCAGATGAACTGTGTTGTTGGCTCAAAATGGAACTTAGAGGAGAACTACGAGGCGAGTTAGTTTGAGCCGATATTGAGTTTGAGCTCAATAGCTCAGGAAGTGGGCGAACACATACCGTCGCTCGCTCACTTCTCGAGCATCTCTCTGCAGAGAGCGGTGTCATCAGTCACCGATCCCCGCATGGATTCCCCCTCCGACGCTGACTGGCGTAACGGATGGGGAGGGGCGGGTAAAGCTGGCTCTGCCTCTAGATAGGCAGAGCCCGCTGTCACTCACGCAGCTGGGTGGATCTCAACAGCATTGTCGGGATTCGTCCCTGCTGCCGCGGTCTCAGTATACCGCGAGCTGTAGCTCGCGATATACCGAGCTTTGGGGAGGATGCTAGTATGTGTCCTCCCGTAACCCTTAAAACAGGGTTGGCCAAACTCCAGCCCTCCAGCTGTGGTGGAACTACAAATCCCATGAGGCATTGCAAGATTCTCACAGCCACAGACATGACTCCTGGAGAGAGATGCATCATGGGATTTGTAGTTTCACCACAGCTGGAGGGCCAAAGTATGGCTACCCCTGCCTTAAGAGAACTATGGGGAAAAACACTTACCCCATAGTTCTCTTTTAAGAGTTCACAGGCTTTCTGGCAGATCAACAGGTATTTTTCTGTATTTCCAGAGTTCTTAAAAGAGAAAACATGAGGAAGTACCCGTATTTGCAGGCGTATAAGACGAGTTTTTAGGCTTAAAAACATCCCCCGAAAATCGGGGGTAGTCTTATACGCCGGGTATGGATGTGCGGTAATACTGTATATAAAAAGGTAGCTACGGCTACATACAGTATACCGCCCTGAGCCAATCACGGCAGGCTTTGTATTAATGAATACAAAGCCTGTATTAATGAATACAAAGCCTGCCGTTATTGGCTCAGCGCAGTATACTGTATGTAGCAGAAGCTACCGTACATACAGTATTACCGCACATCCAGAAGGCTGACAGATTAGCCTCTCTGGCGGTCTGATGATTTTATTTTTTCGTAATTTTTTTTAACTTTTAAAATTGCCTCCGGTTCCGGCCCCCTGCGACGCGGACGCTCGCAAAAAATTAATCCCTGAGCCACACTCGGGAATACCGCCATGGAGGATAGTGGGTGTATTTAAACATTATTTTGGGCTATACTCGTTTTATACGACGAGTATAGCCAAAAACCTATGTTTTAACAGAAAAAGTAGGGGGTCGTCTTATACGCCAAGTCGCCTTATACGGGGAAATAATATAGAAAAAACTGCCCCTGTGCATATTTCTCCCTGCTGTAGACATAATTAAGCTAGTATAATTTTTGTGGCAGTAATGCATTTAAAGTGCACCTGTGCCCAGACTATGGGCATTAAACCTTTTACATATTCCCCCAACTACATTTTAAAAATGCCTTTACTAGCAAGGAAGCCAACCCGTTTGATTGGGATTTCGTTTTACTTGTTACTTAAGCATGGCTTCACTGAATTCAAAGTTCTTCTTCCCTTGTTGGTAACTGCCGATAGCCAATGTAAACTTCCGAAAGTCCTGTCTAACAGGTTTTAAGATGCAGTGTTGGAATTAAAAAATCAAACCTCTGCCCACCCAGCTGTAATGAAACTACAAATCCCATGATGCATCTCTCTTCGGGAGTCATGTCTGTGGCGGTGAGAATCTTGCAATGCCTCATGGGATTTGTAGTTCCACCACAGCTGGAGGGCAGGAGGTTTGAGACCCCTAAATTAAATGTTTGGAAGATGAAATCGGATGGTTTAGTATCTGCAACAACACTTTTCTGTGATTTCTTCTGAATGATTCCTAGATTGTGAAATGTGTTTTTTAAAAAGTTACTGTAAAAATATTTTTCTTTGACATAAGTAATGTGATAAAAAAAAAAAGAACATTGTGATTCTTATTACAATTTTACACAAACACAAAGTCACACTCACCTTGTAGATGTTAAGGGGACACTCCAGGCCACACTTACAAGTTCCATCCATCACCAGGTAGGTCTTCAACTGATCCATAGAGGTAAGAACTGTACCACTTGGACTGAAGGACAGATCATTTGTTTAATCAACACATTAAAGGCCAAATGTAATATTGCATCTATAGGTCAACCCAAAAACTTAAAAATGCTTATAAAGTTTCCAAACTACAATATAGGATTTCCCAAAAGTCTGTATCCATGGACAAAAATGTATTTAAAATCTGTATTACAGCAAATGTTTAAATTGAGGGCCTTGGACTTTACAACGCTTGTGTATACGCTGAATGCAAGAACATTGCACATGTTGTAGCAGAACAGATGTATGGTTGTTTAGTTGATTTCAGACAAGTAATGTGCATTGTGCTGGCTGACATCATTATTGAGATGAAATGAGGCTTCATCACTTTAAAATCAGCATTTTTATGCCTATACCTTAAAATAATTTTCTTGGAGTTCAATAGGTAACACAGGGTTTATTCTGAGACAAAGGGTTTCTACTACTGCCTACAGGAGATTTTAAACTAACAACAAAGTTGTTAGTCAGGTGTAGCCCTCCTGCTCTCATCAAGCTGTAGTTTTGTGGCAAAGCAGTCGTAAAAGTGGATTATGAAACTCCAAAAAAAGGATTTTTACAGCAAGTACAAAAATCCTGTTCTCTTTATCATTCATTAGGGCACACAGGGTTAATTTTGAAACAATACGAACATTCCAAAGCAGTCTCGCTGATGGATGGGCAACACAACAAATGCTAACAATCCCTCTAAAACAACAATGTATAACTGGGGTAGCTTGCAGCTCTTGGAGCTGCCTGAAGGACCTTACATCTGAAGCTGGCATTAGATAGGGGCAATGAGCTGGTAGTGTTGTGTGCCCACTACACAGGTATTGATGCACTGGAAGATTGGGACAAGTAGGCATCCTTTTAAGGTTTCAGTAGAAACCCTTCTTATCAAGTCCAGTTAGAGCCGGAAATTCTAGCTTGTAGCCCCTAGACATGATGTTCTTTACCCAGGCATCAGGACATGCTTTTAAATCACTCGCACTCCATGATATTAAAGTCAATGCTGTTTATTGACTGAGATAACACACATCTCATTAGCTCGTAACATCCATGATAAAGTTGTTTGTCAAAAAGGCATTCACCATCAAAAGGTATAAGCAATTAATTTTTTGCACCGATGCTCACCAGACCAGCATTTGAGTTGAAGGGTCCTCCACATATGTATGGATAGGAGATCCTTTCAAGTTATCAACTAAACAATGTCTGCAAGCACATCAACACAGCAGTGCGTAGCTACAGGCAAAAGTTCTAATTGGTGTGGAACAGAGGCATCTGCAAGGATGGATCTCGGATCCACAGGCATATCTTTGGACAATACCCCTAAGGTCTGGCAGATGGACATAATGACAATAACCAGCTGCAGGGTAGGGCCTGCTATTTTTTTTTAAAAAGGCATTAGAAAAGGCTCTCAGTCTTTTATCCGTAGGATCTTTAAACACAGGAAAGTCCTCAACAGAGATGGTCAGAGCCTCCAGAGAAACATGCTCTGTCCAGACAGTCTTTGCCCCCACTGGTGGGAATATTCCCTAAGGAGTAAGAGGTAAGGATGCACCACCGCATGTACCACAGCCCTGGACCTGTAAATCGCATGGTGGCTCACTCACACAGTACATCAGGTGTTACGGAGAGCGCCCACATCAGAGCCTATTGCCCTAGTGTCACATTACAGGCCAGCCCAGAATCCTCAGCAGGTTTCAGGTACATCCTCAAGGCTATGACAATGATGAGCCGATCCATCAAACTGGAAAAATTGACTCTCTGGCTCTGCAGTAAATGCAGGATCTTGTGACAGGTTATATACAGTATGAATGTCGAACAGCTTTGTTGGAAGTGCCCAATCTCCTGTAGGCAGCAGTAGAATCTTCCTGTCTAAGAATAAACTCTGTGTTCCCTTACAAAGAGTAAAGAAACGCCATTAATTTCCGCTGCTGTATGAACTACTCACAATATTCCATATGCCTGGCTTTGTCATGGCCATCCAGCTCCTTGACCAGCTGCTCTTTATAGTGAAGGACATTATGATTTTTAATATTTTGATGCCTATTTATCCCAGCTTTTGGGACACCCTGTATATCTGTAAATACTTTGAGAACCAGGACATATTTCTACTATATTAACAGACCACATTAAATCATTTTAAAGATGCAAATACTAGAGTATCAAATGGTAATAGGGAAAACCCGGCGCAAATGAATCACAGCAAGCCTTCCTCCTTAATTGATGCCACATGATCACACTGGGGCAGCTCCACAAGGCAGGGAACCTTAGCATCTATAGAATGACAAAAAAGGAGAGCGCCCATTCCATGTGAAGGATCGTTTAATAATTTGCTTTTAAAAAATGGTAATGTACTCACAAGAGAAAAGTGACACAAGTGTATTCAATGGTTCCCCTCACAGGAGGCTATCACCCATCATAAGGCACAGCACAGCAAATCAGTTCACGACCGAAGTTATCTTCCAGCAGCGAGTGGCAGGGTTGATGCGTTTCTGGGGCACGCCCCCTTCATCAGTACCCTCTGAGGAAGGGGGTGAGCACCAGAAACTCTCTGGGTTCTGAGGAAGTGCTTACACAGGGCTTGGGGAACAAATTGCCTGGGAGCTAAGTGGCGTAAACATGCACCAGAAGCGCATCAACCCTGCCATTCGCTGCTGGAAGATTTGGCTGCGCTGTGGCTTCTGATGGGCGATAGCTTCCTGTGAGGGGAACCATTGAATACGCTTGTGTCACTTTTCTTTTGTGAGTACATTACCATTTTTTAAAAGCAAATTATTAAAACGATCCTTCACATGGAATGAGTACTCTCCTTTTTTTGTCATTCTATAGGTAACAGGGAAAATTTTCACTTAAAACTAAATTTTAGGGCTTCAAGACTCATTCACATGGGTGTATGCAACTGTGCATTCGGAGTTGTGCATTCGTCCCTGTATGGATGTAAATACTGGGATGTGCACAAAAATCCGTGCAGTCGCAGACTGTCATTGATTTTAACAGATGTCCTCCCCAGATGCATAAACACGTCCCCCAGCATGGATGTACAGATCCGTGTGCCTAATGTATGTGACAGAGCCCTTATTGGCACAGTATGGCAAGTTAGGACTGTTCATTTTCATTACCTAAATATTACATATAGAACCAATTATATTTATAGAAGTAATACTTGTTTCCATATGCATTTACATAATAATACTAATACTAATAACAACAACAACCACAACAACAACAACACTTTTGAAAGTTTCAACCCATACTAATAATGTCAATTTGCATTCAATATTTAACATTTTTTAAGTGAATGTTTCAGAATATATTGACAAACACTAACGAGGTTTATAGAGTACTGCTAAACATAATGAAACTATATCAAATTATTTACTTGTCTTTATTATATTGTTTCAACCCAAAACAAAAAAAATTTTTTGACTTACCTTATGTATAGCACAGTGCCTGGCTCCACCCTCCTCTCCCAGCCAATAGGCACCTGGACCATTGGGACCCCTCCATAGTTATCTCCTCCTCCACTTTCACTGCCACCATTCATTTTGTTCTCTCTTCTCTCTTGTACCTAGAAAGGACCGGATGGCACAAAATTACTTTAGGAAGTTTTATAGTAAGCTGTACCATACCAGCCTATCCAGTGTAATCTATACAACAGCTTAAAAAAAAAACTTCCATTTCAGTTGGTCGGTATTTCAGTTTTTGAAAGTTGCTAGGAAGTTAAACCACCTAATGAGTCTTTTAGACCTCTCAGGGGCACTTGTCGCACGATGCGTGTGCTCAAGATTCCAAATGCCCACATTTGTTGCAGCCATTATGAGAAACTTCTCCTCCCGGTGTTGGATTTTATATTGTGAAGAATAGAACAATTG